TAGCTTAATGATAATTGGTACAGAAATTTTCCTTCACATCAGTAGCAAGGAATTACTGGATATTGTGGTCTTAGACACCATAAATTTACACTTGAAATGTCATGATGAATCTATGTAGATTCTGTGTACTACAAGAGGAAACCTCTGAACTTTTGTAACTACCCGTCATTGGGAACTCGAAACACGAAGATTTTGTCTTACCCAGACCCAGATGATATCTTCAAACACTCACCGATTAATCCATTTATCTTCATGCTCGAATTTGGCCTAGTATGGTGAACCAATGGGCTGCAAAAAATCTCTACAATATGGTCGAAGTGCATTGTGTCCTTAACGTCTATTCTAAGGGATTAAGGTCATCAACACCGGTCAATTTTTTTCAGTTTTTAGGAATATCTCGAATATTAATGGTATAAAATATTATTTTGTTAATGGTAAACATTGTTTTTTTATTTTAAACTTATTTATTGATTAAATAAAATAAAAACTGAAAAACTGTATAAATTTTCAAAAAACTTTTTTTATTGGAATAAAACTTGAAAACTTTTTTAAATCTCAAAAAACTTGCAAAAAAAGGGAAAACTTGACATATGGTAACACTGTACACTAGTTAAAGTTAAAACAAATTGGTAAATTGTTTTTTTTTCTAGCATGGAAATATAGGATATACTGTGGCTGCAAAACATGTGTGTGTTTGAACCAAATTATTTCTGCACTGTTTGATAAAACAATAACATCAAATATTTGTTCAAATCTGCACAGAAAAAACTGAAATTCAAAATCAAACAAAAAATTTATAAAGCCAAGTATTTTCTTCACTAAAATAGGACTTATCACGAAATTCGTAAAATCAAGTACCTAAATTCGTAAATTCTTTATTGAAAAAATTTCTAGGATTTTTCTTATTAAAATAATATACTATTTACGAAAAACATTAATAAATATTCGCAACATTTCCAAACAATTATTTTACTAAAACAATAACGTAAATAATTTGTATTTGTACTGAAATTCAAGTCAATATTTTATCTGAAACAGATAAAGTATTTATTGTATTTTGGCAATAATTATACACAAAATTCCTTATTGAATCTATAAAAATTTTGTTAAAAATTATATTTTGAATTTTAACAAAAATTTTACAAATTCTATAAAATTAAAATTTGTAGGAAAAAGTGCTTATATATTTACAACAATTTTATTTCACATTCTAGGAACTATAATTTTGTACTGTGAAAACTGAAACACTTATACACAGAAAAAAATATGCACAATTTTTTTTCTTAACAATCGTTTGCTTAAATTTAATTTCGATTTTTATAAATATTTTTATTTGGGTTTATAACGAATTTGTTTGATGTTCACACAGAAGGAAAATATTTTCTAACAAACACTTTATTGAAATAAATTTAATTTTCAGTAAATATTTTTTCTGATTCAATAAATGTTTTTGTTTGAGTTTTATTTTTATGTCAGCATATGGAATACAACAATAAAACCAGTTTTGGATTGTACTAAAATGAATTGATATAATTCTTATTTGGTTTATAACATTTAATGTATAAGTGTTTCAGTTTTCACAGTACAAAATAATAGTTTCTAGAATTAGAAGCGTTTTCTTAAAAATATTGTAAGTATATATGTAATTTTTTTACTACTTTTGTTTTAAATATTTTTTGTAAAATTTTTGTTAAAATTTAGTATATATTTTTTAACAAAATTTTTGTAGATTCAATAAAAAATTTTGCTTATTATTATTGCCAAAATACAATAAATAATTTATCTGTTTCAGATAACATATTTGCTTGAATTTCAGTACAAATACTAATAACTTGTGTTATTGTTTCAGTAAAATAATTGTTTGGAAATGTTGCGATTATTTATTAATGTTTTTCGTAAATAGTATATTATTTTAATAAGAAAAATCCTGAAATTTTTTCAATAAAGAATTTACGAATTTGAGTACTTGATTTTACGAATTTCGTGATAGGTCCTATTTTAGTAAAAAAAAAATACTTGGCTTTATGAATTTTTTGTTTGATTTTGAAATCCATTTTTTTCTGTGTACATTAAATGTTATAAACCAAGTAAGAATTATATCAATTCATTTTAGTACATTCCAAAACTTGTTTTATTGTTGTATTCCACATGCTGACATATAAATAAAATTCAAACAAAAACATTTATTGAATCAGTAAAAATATTTACTGAAAATTAAATTTATTTCAATAAAGTGTTTGTTAGAACATATTTTCCTTCTGTGTGAAAATCAAACAAATTCGTTATAAACCCAAATAAAAATATTTATAAAAATCGAAATTAAATTTAAGCAAACGATTGTTAAGAAAAAAATTGTACACATTTTTTTTCTGTGTGAACATAAAATAAATATTGCGTTCGTTTGACGCAAATATTTTATGACAAATATTAGGACCAAATATTTTACAGGTCTGGACGTAGCTTAAGTTAAGCTAAGATTTGTAAATATTTACAGTCTTATGCAAAAAAACTTACAACATGCTTACTAACCGTTGTTAAGCTAAATTCGATAAAAGTATATCCAAAATCGATAATTAGTTTAAAATACCTGTAGTAAACCATTGTTAAATATACGAAAGTTAATAATGGTTCAACCGTACTTTAAACCTATATTAAAGTCAAATGTCATTATTTTATTACAATTTATAACTGTTGACGTTTTGTGAAAAATATTGTTGTGTTAATTTTTTAAATAAATTATAAAAAAATAAATAAATAAAAAACAATATGGATACACTTTTCCATTTATTTTCAGGCTTTGTCTCCATATTTTTTCTTTTCTTTTTGCCAAAAATATAAATTTTGTTTATAAAATACTTTAGTGATGTGTAAAATATCAATGCAAATTTAAAGAAAATGTTACTCTATTACTTTCTTTAATCAAAATATAATATTGCAATTACATTAGTTGTTTTATTTGATTTATACGTTGTTTTTATTAAATAAACAAATACAACCCCATTTTTATGTTATTAAAAACAATTATCTTCTATATACATAAAAGAGTAGCGGTACTGACTGACTGATTCATCATCGCACAGCCCTAACGGCTGAACCTAGAATCATGAAATTTTTACAGTAGATGTGTTTTTGGATATATAGATCCGCTAAGGAGGGAAAAAAACGGGTAAAACAGGTTTTCTTAATTATCTTACCTAATATTAGGGATACAAGAAAAATTTTAGATGCACATGTATCTACTCTTAAAATAAACAGATGGGTGTCTGGGACTTTTTTGAAATTCGTACTTTTAAGGGGTGAGAATGTATAACAAAGGTACCTTTTTTGGCCCTTTATAACTTTTTAACTAATAAACAAAATACAATTTTTGTAAATATTACTAATATATCTCCAAAAATTAGGAGACACCTGTTTCGTACTTTTTTAAAATTCAGCCCTTTTTGGGTGTAAAAGGGAGAAAGAAGTATTTTTGGTACTTTTTTTTTTAGCAGAAAGAAAAGAAAACTTTTTCGATTTATTGAAGTATTCCTATTAAATTACGGACTAACTCTGTAATATTTTTGAAACAAAATTTTTGCTATTTCACTGGGGAAAAAGTACCTAAAAGGGAAAAACGGGAAATTTAATTTTATTCAACACATTGAGCCAATTTTTATAAAATTTGAAAAAGTAGTTTATTTAGTCACACAAAATAAGCTATTGGTATATTATTTTTGAATTCGAGTACTAAGGCCTATATAGGACCATAGAAAATTATTTGGTACTTTTTGAAAGCACAATTTTTCCGGAACAAATGAATGTAGATTTGAATCGTTTGAGTTATATCTGTGATATATAGATTTAAACACGGAATATTTTATGAGCTTAATTTTCGAAAAAGTGTATTCCTAGGAGAAGTGGGGAAAAATGGTACTTTTTTATTAGAATTTCCACAAAGGCAGAATTTAATCCACTATTTCATCGCTCTAAATAATTGAATTTTTTGAATTTTAACAATATTTATGTAGAGCTAGATTCAACTATATTGAATCTGATGGAATAATTAATCTATAAGAGGAAAATGTTTGGTACTTTCTCTTTCTTTCTTATTGAACATAGTAACATAAAATTTAACATGATTGATCAGAATCCATAAGAGGTGACCCTTTGCTACTTTTTCGTTCTTCAAATGGTACTTTTTGTATGTTCTCTAATATGAAGACAAAACACAAAATGTTCCTGACTGATTAAAAATGATTAAATGTGGTACTTTTACATTTTTCAATGTTACTTTTTGAATTTCCGAAAAACATAAATCACGGTTCTTTTTAAATAAAAATTTATAAAAAGGACATTTTTAGAACTTTTTTGTTCTTCAAATGGTACTTTTTGAATTTTCTATAATATTGGCCATAGAAATATGAAATTTAACATATAGAGACCTGAATAAAACAGTATCTACAAGAAGCATCTTTTTGGTATTTTTTGTTGTTCATATGAAACTTTTTGAATGTTCCTATGTATATTCAAAAAGTAAACTAAAGAAACTAAACATACACAGTGCTTAATGAATAATATTCTATATGGGAGACATTTTGGTACTTTTTTATTTGTATCTTGATTGGGTAGCGAAGCACTCAGGGTAAGCTAGTTTTATATAAAAGCATAAAAAAATAATATTAGACACGAATACCAAATGAACTAATAATCGTTCATATACAACATTATGAAAATATTGACAGAATAAAATAATGGTATTGCCAGCATCAAATCTAAAAAACATTAAAATGTATTTTTGTTAAAATACTGTTTTTCATATACTTTTTTAATAATGGATTATTAAGCTAAAAGTCGTTGTTAACTAATGTACACTTTAAGGTCATAATAAGGTTTTTTTTGCATAAGACTGTTAGTCTTTTTTTCTTTAGAAACTCTTGAATGTTTCCGTTTTTTTTATAATTAACTTAAAAACTGCAAATAGTTAGATATATTTTTTGAGTTTAATAAAATTATTTTTACAGGGAGCTGGACATAATGATGTAGAACTGCATTCACAATATTTTGAGCGCCTAAAAAGATTTTTGACGGTCGAATTGGTCAAATGACAATTAAAGACTTCGGCAGAAGTAACAAATAAAACTATAATGCCCGAAGCAACGATATCTTCAGAAAACCAAGCTGCTTCAACTTCTGCCATTCCAAGTATACAAGAAACACATGGTGCTTCAACTTCATTAAAAGTATCGTCATCACCAAGGACAAAATCAAAATCTGATAAAAATGAACTAGATGGTAAGATCCAATTGTTAACTAAAATTAAATATTTGTATGTATGTATATAATTAACATTAAACACTTTAAATATCCTGATAAGAATTACATAGTTTGTGTTTTACAAAAATATATCCTTAACCTATCGATTACTAAATTCATTTGTTAGTTAAATAGCTGATGTTTAAAAGTGACATAACATATGGCACAAGGAGATTTCTGGCGGGCGCATTCTTCTGTTGTGTGTAATAAAATTAAATTTTTCAGTATTCTTATAAAAATATCATTTCCGATTTGAAAAAATGTTGGAGATACATTGGGGCTCGAACTCAAGGCTGAAGAATATTCAATAATTAATATGAAGCATTGATGAGAATAAGGGTGGGTTCGATGTCACCTAAAATGGTGATTAATTCAGGTGAGCCTTAATTTTAATATATTGATTTTTTTTTTTTTTTTGAGCGCATCATACAAAAAAAAATATATTTTTAAAAAAGAAATAACTACATAGAAATAATAATTTTTTTTGAATTTTATAATTCATTTTATATTCGAACTAGTAATAGTGGGTGTGGTACATTCCACGCCAATACCAAATGACGTAAATTTGAAAACTATTAAAGCTTCAGTTCCAAATTTTGTACGATAAACATTAGTGTCAATACGAAAATTGTTTATAATAATGGGCAGATAAGAAATAGTGGGCGTGTCACCCCCCATATAAAGTTAGTACCAAAATTCGTATATCTGGGAAACTATAACATTTGGAGTGCTCACATTTCGTCCGAACCACTTTGATATCAATAAGAATATTTAAGACAAATATGAGCTGACAAGAAAAAGGGAGCGTAATACTGCCATATGAATAAAAAAATGTATATCGGGGAAACCATTAGAGCTAAAATCCTCAAATTTTGCACGACCAAAACTGAAATCCGTGTGAACAATTTGCGGATTAACCGGACTACCAGATTTCTATACCTTCCATATAAATTTGCGGAAAAATAACCGGACTAGCAATAGGGGTATGTAACCTCCCATATAAATTACATTTTTACATCTAGGAAAATATAGGAACTGAAATCCTCAAATGTTGTACGAAAAACTTTGGCATCCATGTAAATATTTGGTTAATAAATTGGCGAATAAACAATAGGGGGCATCGCACCTCCCATATGAATTAAATACGAAAATTCGTAAAGAAATCTCAAATTATGCACAGGCAACAATGTAATCCATATGAACATTTGAATGGATAGTAGCGATCGGTAAATCTCCCAAACGCTTCGCCATTTATCAATTCTGCAACATTTTTCACTATAAACGGTTCCTTTAGAAGCGGTTCTACTAGAATCACTTTTTAACAAAAAACCCACGATGATTTTGTGAACAGGTTCTTACTTTATAAATTATATGTACAATAAGTTCCATTAGAACCTTAGATACCTTAGTTTTAATGTGTTTACTAAGGCATAAAATTATAGAATTCAGTGTTAGCAAAACATTTGACTTTTGGTCGATGAAATTAATTTCTGATCCACCGTTTGCCTACTAGAGAAATAGGAGTGGGTTTTCCAGTAAAATGTAAGTATAAAAAGTAGTGTAGCGAAACACTATAAAAAAAAAACTTTGTTGGGAAAAATTACTTGTATTTTTCTAGTCTACAATATATCGCACACCGAGTACAAAAGTGACTCAACTCAAAATTTTATTTTTGCTTTTTTTATATTTATTTAGCCTTAAGTTTAAGTCTTAAACTATGCACAAGATACTTGTTTATCTCTAAAAAATATTAGTGTATTTTTTGTTGTTAACAGTCGAAGAAAAGAACGTTGTCTTCCTTTATGTATCAGAATTTGTAAAAAATGTTTTCCCTTTTCTGAAAAAAATATTTTGAGTTGAGTCACATTTGTACTGGGTGTGCGATATGTACATATAACACCGTCCGACACTCAAAATTAGACACGAACCGGATGATATACATCTGAAATAGTGTTTATAAAAAACCGACTTTTTGGAAAAACTGTTTTTTCGGTTAACCGAAAATTGACCATTTCTAGAAAACCGGTTTTTCGGTTAACCGAGTATAAAAAAACGGTTAAACCGGTTAACCGAAATGTTTGGAAATCTTTGAAATATTATAATATTTATTTGAAAGATGTAATTTTGCGAAATATTATGAATTACTTAATAAGATATTTGCACTTTTTAGTATATATATGTACATTAATATAGGATAAGAAATCAAACTTATAAAGATCTGAAGATAATATTGATTCGTTAAGTATATGGAACTTCTCATAGGAGGGATAAATTGACCATTGAATATATAATGAATCTATATCAATAAAAAAATGTATGTCCAGGACTATCATGTATGTCCAGGACTATAATAGACGATTCATCGGGTACGGAAGTAAACGACGACTGTCTCGACATAGACATTGAGTCTCTGCTTTAATTGTGACCTTTCTCCGCTCGCTACACAGAAAAAAATGAAATTCAAAATCAAACAAAAAATTCATAAAGCCAAGTATTTTTTTAACTAAAATAGGACCTATCACGAAATTCGTAAAATCAAGTACTCAAATTGGTAAATTCTTTATTGAAAAAATTTCAGGATTTTTCTTATTAAAATAATATACTATTTACGAAAAACATTAATAAATAATCGCAACATTTCCAAACAATTATTTTACTGAAACAATAACACAAGTTATTAGTATTTGTACTGAAATTCAAGCAAATAGGTTATCTGAAACAGTTAAATTATTTATTGTATTTTGGCAATAATAATAAGCAAAATTTTTTATTGAATCTATAAAAATTTTGTTAAAAAAATATATATTGAATTTTAACAAAAATTTTACTAATTCTATAAAATTAAAATTTGTATAAAAAAAGTACTTATATACTTAAAACAAATTTATTTCACATTCTAGAAACTATTATTTGTACTGTGAAAACTGAAACACTTATACATTAAATGTTATAAACCAAGTAAGAATTATATCAATTCATTTTAGTACATTCCAAAACTAGTTTTATTGTTGTATTCCATATGCTGACATATAAATAAAACTCAAACAAAAACATTTATAGAACCAGTAAAAATATTTACTGAAAATTAAATTTATTTCAATAAAGTGTTTGTTAGATAATATTTTCCTTCTGCTTGAAAATCAAACAAATTCGTTATAAAACCAAATAAAAATTTTTATAAAAATCGAAATTAAATTTAAGCAAACGATTGTTAAGAAAAAAAATGTGCATATTTTTTTCTGTGTACGCATGTGAATGACGCTTAGGAATATTGACAGGTGTCATTCTGACTTCCTGTCAATTAACCTAAGCGCCACAACAGTTTGTGAAAAACCCCAGCAGCATAAATTCTCGAACAGCAACAACAATCCTTATGTGTCGATAAATAAAGTCCGATTTGAGAACGTTGTAGAAACTTCTCGATTTTTATTTACTCACGCAGTAAACAAGTAAGTGCATCCTGCCTTTTATCATCAAAGTTATTTATTCGTCTTAATAAATAACAAATTTCTTCATATTATGTAATTTGTTTAAATAGTTAATTTTTTATTGGTTTTATTTATTTTTTACTGATTGTCTGAAATTGTAAATCTCCATTTATATACATACATAATATATGTTTAACATTTCCTAACATTTCATATGCACAAACGGAAAATAATATTTAGAATTATCTATCTAAAATTTTTAAAAATCACAACAAAAATCAAAGAAAACATACAATTTTGTACTAAAAATTAGATTTTTTGAAACCGGTTAACCGAGGCTTGAAAAGCGGATGACCCGGTTAACCGACCAATGTTTTTAAAAAAACCGATTTGCGAAAAACCGAAATGTGCAATAAAAACCGGTTTTTCGGTTAACCGGTTTATAAACACTAGTCTGAAACTATAAATTTAATGGAAAAAAACTACGATTTTAGTTTTTCATTTCGTGCTCCTGTGTCCTTTTTAAAGGACTTCAAAGTTTTAAAAAGTACCCAGCAAAAAAGAACTTCCAAAGAAGCGAAAAGAAAGTTGAATTTACTCCATGGAAGTACTAAAAAAAACCTGAAGAAGTGATGATTTTAACACAGGCTTGTCATAGGAGGGATGTCCTTTTTTTATTTGATTCCAAATTTACTACTTCTGAAGAATTTCTCAAGAAGTAATTTTAATGCTCTTTTTTTTGGAAGATATTCAGAAGTGAAATTGTATTATTATAGATTACAACTAATTTGAGTTAAATAATATTAACATTACTTAGGGTAATAGACACATTTAGTACAAGCCCAAATATAATATGTATTTTTTGTCCCATAAAAATATAAGTGCAAAAAATATATCTTCAACATTGAAAAAATATAATTATTTTCGCTTCTTCGGAAGTCTTTAAACATCACTTCCTCAGAAGGTAAATAATTTCAATTAGTGCTACTTTTGAAGTGGTGATAAATGTTATTTCTTTTGAAGTACTTTGTTTTATTTTTGCTGGGTACATTTTTTTTTACTGATTAAACAATGCCAAATTTGATGTCATTTGTCAAAGAATAAAAAGAAGACCATTCACATTTTCTGACTATTCGCAAATTATTTTTTTTTGCATTGCTTTTACTCGACAATAATACAAATGTGCATGGCTGTTTGTTTAACCCCCCAACGGTAAAAATACGCATTATGTACCCGCTTATCTAAGTGATATTTCGTGGCAGTCAGTGGTTATGCTTTCACTTAGATTTAACATAAAAGTGTCCTAGGCTGCCTCTTCGATGTGCTCTCGCTTAGAATGTAAGCCACAATATCATTAGGACAGATTAAAATTTTAGTTACATAATGTGTGGAGTTCTAAGCGAAATTAATGAGACGCCTATAAACGCTTGCAAATAGTAATGTAATGTATGTAGATTACAATCCTATTTGCATTTGTAAGTTAAAGTACCATGTCTTCCCTTTTTGTTATAGAAAAATATATATTTTTTTAAATTTAATTTAAAATTATTA